AGAAAACTGATTATCCAAAATTTTAAGCATTAAATTTTTTTTTTTTTTTACTGTGGCCTTGTGTCACAAGTGATCTCTTGTACTCATATGGAGCACCAGTGGTCCCTGGGGAAGAGACAGAACCATTACATTACAGATATGGGGGAAAAAAGCAAAATGCCATTGTCCCAATACTCCTAGCTTTCCTAAATATATCTACACAAAAATAAAAGATGCTGATTTTATTACTATATGGGGAGATTACTTTAAGAGAGATAGATGGACGTTGAAACAAACACAATAAAAAGTCTTGTGGCACCTTAAAGATTAATACATTTATTACCATCATCATAGAAATTTACACAAAAACATTTTAAAATTCTTTTTTAATGGGGATTCAGTGTACACATATTCATGTTGTACTTAGGAGAAAGACCCTCTGAACTCAGTGAAACATCTATTAAAATCTGAATAAAATCATATTACAGGTAGTCTTCAACGTACGATCACGATTGGGACCAGAATTTCCATAGCTAAGCGATGCAGATTTTTAAATGAGTTGGCCTGATTTTACAACCTTTTGTTAAGCAAATCATCACATCATTAAGCAAATCACTTGGTTGTTAAGTGAATCTGACTTCCCTCATTGAATTTGCTTGTCAGAAGCTCCCTGGGAAAGTCGCAAATGGCGATCATGTGTCCCTGGGATGTTGCAACTGTTGTAAATACATGCCAGTTGCCAAGTGCTTGAAATCTGATCAGATGTCCTCAGGGAAGCTGCAATGGTTGTAAGTGTGAGGACCGGTTGTAAGTAACTTTTTTCAGGACTGTAGTAACTTCAAATGGTTGCTAAATGAATGTTTGTAAGTCGAGGACTACCTGTATTAACATATTGGATTGTGTAAAGACCTTTGAATTAAGATTGCATGTTCATATAAAGCACTTATTCAAATTAAAGCCAGTTATTTAAAACAATATTTCTAATTAAATATTAGCAATTATGTTGTGTGTGAAGGCCTACATATATACCTACATATAAAGAATATAAATGCAGACAGCTGTTACAACACTTTCTTGAATAACACTTGCTTGGACTGGACTAGAAATGGGGCTTCCAAAAAATGTTGCAGCATGGAATATTCCTTTTGAGTTCCAACCATTCACATTTCTCCCTTTTTAGCACATTGTATGACTGGATATTATGAGGGAGGACATTAGTGACAAATATATTTAAAAAAAAACCTTAATCCACAGGGTTAGGGTTAGGGTTAGAAAGCAAAAGAATAAATCAGCCCAGAAGAAGAATCTGAGAAATATGTATACATTAAAAAAAATGAAATACTTAAAAAAAACAGTTTTCCAAATCTATGGGGAGACAGTAAAATATAGATGCAATTATGTATAAAACTTTGAGGTATATGTAAGAGGTATTACTCATGTGATTGTATCAACATATTAGAATTCACAGAGCGTGAATCATATGAGTTTATGTAAAAATAGTGGTTTAGGGAATATGACTCCAGTTTGGGAGAGAAAAATCTATTTATCTGGCCACATTGGATTTGTAAATATATGACACTGCACTAATGTATGTGAGATTAGGGCATCTTTGCTATGATTGTGAAAAGAGGTTGTACCTTTTTTCTAGCAACACTTGTATGATAGGCTGCAATGTATCCAGCGTTTCTGTGAGGCATATATATTGATGAAAAAGTTTCTCCTGCTGGAGAAACATTTGTCCATACACCTATTGCTTTGTCATACACCTATTAGTTATAAAACCTTGTAAAAAGAATCTCTGGTGGTGTTGGACACAAGAGAACCAGCAAGCAAAGAAAATTATTAATGACAAATGATGAATAGAATGGGAAAAAAATAAAATAAAAAATAATACAGTATTTACATTTGTGTAAACTAGTAGTGGAAAATCTATTGTAAACCCCAGTAATTTTTTGTTATTGATTTATTTACAATTTTTATACACTTCTAGATACTGGACTGCATGCAATTCAGCACTGACGTAAAAGTAGATCCCACAAAAATAACCATATCCCATACAGAAAATTATCATTAAAAATTGGTCACCAAATATTCATCAACCAGGTGTCAAATGCCCATCTAAAAAGAAAGGAGCTTTCCTGAACACCAAAAGTGACATTACTGCAATATTCAAATTGCTACAGCATCGTATGTGAGATTCAGTAGCTGTTAAAACTTGACTTAGTAGTAATACTACTAATATTAATAATAATAAGATGAAATGAGCAGCTTTATGTGTTTGTCTCTCTGAAGAGGATGAGAAGAAGGCCTTTGAAGAAAAGATGGGATAGGCTTTATGTAAATATGTTTAAGAGTTTTGCATAAGATATATAGAATTCTCCCATATGGTTCCAAATCATTTCTTTTTTTTGTGGTATTTCTGTCTACAAGGTGATTTACTCAAAAGTCCCAGTTTCTCTCTAATTGGACTTGCCAGTCTAAAAACTTGCATTGCTTAGCAAGAAGCTGTAAAACAAGCTGATAAGAATCAAACTTTTAATTTTTTGTGCACTTTTGCATTAGCATCACTAGGGGGCTGATGCAACTGTAATTAATGCGCATGGCAAGTCAAGGATGTGGGAGTTATAACTTCCTGCTGTTTTCTGCACCTTTTTCTTTTTTTCCTTTTGGCAAGCTGTTATTTCCTGACATGCCTTATCAAAGTGAGGCTCAGATAACTTTCATAATATAATGCTAAACCTATCTACAGGGCCAGACAATCCTGCTATATTGGAAGAAGGTAGTAGCATTCAGCACAGCTGATAGCAACAGCAGCTCCTGCAACCTGGAGGAAGGTCAGAAACCATGCTTTTCAGGCTTTGTATCGATGGTGAAGAGCACAGTCTGGATAATTTATAATCCATGTTTCTGTTCTGAAAATAATACTTGATTGGATGTTAATTATAGCACACATGCATGTTTAAAAAAGCTGGCTGGGTGACTTTGGGCCAGTCACTCTCTCTCAGCCAAACTTACTTCACAGGGTTGTTGTTGTGGGGAAAATAGGAGGAAGGAGTATTAGGTATGTTTGCTGCCTCAAGTTATTTATAAAAACAATAAAGGCAGGCTAAAAAAATCTAAAAAAAAAATCCATTTCCCATAATTAGAAGTGTTTGCTGTAACAATAACATGAGTTCATTCAGAAATAAGCCTTACTGAGTGCAACAGGACATATGGCTAGAAAACAGTGTACAGGACTTCCGCCTGGATTACATTTTAAAATCTGAGATCCTATGCCTGTTTATTTGGGATTAAGCTCCATTGAACTTGGAACTTGAACCACCTTCTGAGATGCCATGAATGTATAGGACTCTGTTCTACAAACATAGGCTCAGTGCCTGATTGTACTGATTATAAAGCTTGTGACAGCGGGCATTCTTCTGTAGCTGCTGAATAGAATAATTTGATTCACGCAACTAGACTAAGTTGTATGGTTTAATTTAGTGTGCTGTGTCAACCCAGCCCTAGTGGCTGGTAAACTCTATTTTTTTAATTTATTGTGCAAATCCAGTCAATTGTGGTTTAAATAAACCATCGTTTAGCATGATGTTAGATTCTAGTCAATCACTGGAATCACACAACACACCAAGTCCAAATGTGGTTTGCTTGTGGTTTAATGTGTTCATGAACCTAGCCAATGGGTTTGTAAACAATGGTATATGGTTAGTGTGTTTTTAAACCTGGCCCTTTTGGTTTATTCAGTAAGCTATGTTTAAGAAAGCCAGGATTGGTGTTTTCTGTTCACTACCCATGTTTGATATCACATGATGAATGGTTGAAACATTTTAGTTATAAAATCAAAATTTGAAATGTGTATGTTCACATTTTTTATTATATGAATAGCTTAAATATTTTTAATAGTACAGAGAAGTGACAAGGAAAGCTGCAATAAATCTAAGTTTTTAAAGCTATAATACAACTTTTTTGTCTTCACCTCTCAAATGTTGCTAGATATCCATAAATAGTCTTTTCCTCATCTACAACTATAGTAGTTATTTTGTACAGTATAGCACCCAAACATGAGAAGGCCCAACTGAAACCAACATTTGGGTTCAGCATATGAGAATTTGAAACTCTTCAGCTGTTTCCCCCATTTATCAGACTTGCAAGCTGGAACATAACAGGCAGGGCAGATGAAGCTTGTGTAGACCTACATGCTACCCTTTACTATTTAATACAAGGGGTTTTAAGGTAACCTTTATGTGACAGGATGAGATATTGTGGGGCTGCACAGTGTGGAATTGACACTCTTGTACTGCATTGTAAGGTGTTAGGTAGCCCAGCTTGGGTGAAATGTCAAAAAAATAAATAAATCCCAGAACGAAATGAAAAACCCCTTCTGTATTATACTAAGAAAGCTGCTTGGACCCATTCATGTAAATCGTCTGGAGTCACGCTGCATCGAAAGGCAACTTTACTTTTTTTTGTGGTCAGGACCAATTGTGTAGTGATTGGAAAATCATGACCTTGGTATCACTTGGGTACACTGCACTGGACATGAATGATAGGACTGCCTTCTCGGTATAAATTGAAACATTTTATTTTTACGCTAAAAAACATAGAACCTTGGGAGCCCACAGCGGAGGAACTACTAAGGCAGTTTAAAAAAAACGTTAGATCCTTTACATTTCAAAATCCTTAAGCCCGCGATTCCGCACCACCTTTTTGTCCAGTGACTGATAAGCCAACGGGCCTATCGTCAGGCAAACAACCTTCATAGTCCAATCAGAAACAGAGTGGGCATTTGTCCCCTGCCCACTTCGTATCGTCGTAACTGACAGCGCTTCCCGCCAATTCTAACGGACGCCAAGAGCAGGGCAGCCTCGCCCGTGTAGAGGAACACCGGCCAATAGTTTTGTGGTGGTGACCTGAGTGATGGGCTCCAGCATCCAATTGCAGCGAGGTGGGCGGGGCCTGGGTGTCCGGGTTTCCTCTCCGGCTCGGTTTTCCCCCTCCCCCCGCGCGGGTTCTTCGCTGCGAAGAAAATGGCGGCGGCGCCGAGCGGAGATGAAGAGAGACTGTGAGTGACCCGAGGAGAGGGGGTGGGGAAGACCTGGGCCGGACCATGAAATTCCTTGCGTGGGGGCCCTAGACGGGACCATTTGAAGCAGTTCAGAGGGTGGAGAGGATGCGCGACCGTGATGCGGCCGTTGGTTTCTTTCCGCTCGTGGGTTCCCCTCCCCTTTTCTCCTGCGCGCCCAGGGCCCCTGAGTGCGTCACAGCAATCCCCTCTGCCCAGCAATGGGAGGGGCTGCTCCTCCTGCCTAAGAGGGGAGGAGGAGTGGGTGAGGAAGACATGGGCGTGCCCCCTGAAGAGAGGGGGGTGGGCTTAAGGTCAGAGGTGACTTGATGCTCCTTGATGCTCTCTCGCTGATGTCAGCTCCCCGGGATTACCTCTTATTGCTGCTCCCTTACTGACCATCTTCTCCAGGTTCTAGCCCCCAAGCTATATGTGGTCCATATGCCTTTACCTTCATGCAGCTGATCACACCAACTTCCTTGGGCTTCCTTTTATCAGGATTTGGTCCTGACTATTGGGAACATTTGGTAATATGCTTTTGGGGGAAGGATCTTTCTCCTTCCAGTCAGTCCAGTCATACCGAATGCACCCAAGGGAGAGACATGGCAAGGAACTGGACAAAGTTACTACGGTATTCTCCATGGGCTGCACTGCGGGGAGGATTGGGTTCCATTGTGCTCCCCTGTGAGTGGAAGCGGCTGTCTTTGCCCTCCTTTTTCTAAATAATGCAGCAGGAAAAATTGGGCCTCGTTCCTACTACTGTGGCATCTAATGGGTATGAGGAGTCAGGCAAATGAGCCAAGGTGGCTGTTTGTGCATGGACAGCATCCTTTTGCCTGCTCATTTGATACAGAGCTGTTATGGGACTGAAGTTCGCTATTGCAAATATCAGAAGGTGGGGCAAACAGGCAGAGATGGAAACTCACTTGTTTTGGGTCTCTGGGCCCAGGAAGAAAAGTTGAGCGTGCTGACCGTTCAACCAGATAGACAACTAACTGGGACTAGCAAACTTCATTTTTTGCAACTGTCACTTGTCCAAACCTGATAGATAAATAAAAGGGTAGGGGCAGTAGCTTCCCTGTCTTCTTAAACAGAGGCCCAGACTTTCCATCCTAAGAAAAAAGAGAGGCAAGAAAGAGAAGATGGCAGTGCATCTTGGAGGAGCAGTCTTTGTATTTGTGCATTCACTTCCTTTCCAGTCACTTCTTTGCTTGGCAAGAAGAATTGAATATATGATGGTTAGAAGTAGCAATCACTACTGCTGACTAGTATCTTGTGTGCACTTTGAGGAACCTTTGTTTCTTACTCTTCTACCACTGTTTGATTACTTCAATGTGGAGGATTTGGTGGAGGGTGGTTGCTCAGAGTGAATCAGTGAACAAAAACTAGTACTGCTCTTAGAGTCACCATCAGCTTTTCTTTGCTTCCTTTTTCTGTCTGGAGTGGTACAAGTGAATGGATCAGATATCTTCAGTTTTAGGATGATCTGATACTCAATTACATACCTTTGCTCTCATCTATTTTGTGCCAATTTTTCTGCACTACTCCATTGATGCTCACTTTCCTCTTTCATTTGAGCTTTGTTGTTATTAATCCTCTAATGCACTTTCTCCAATCTGGTATTTTCAAGACTACAGTAGGGATCAGCAACCTTGTTGAGTAGTGGTTATCATCGTGAAATTTTGTGCATTGCTTCAACTGCCAAATAAATGTGTCTGTGTGTGTTTTTAAGTTTTAATTAAAAATATCCCAAATCATGCAAGATCTTATTTTAGCCATTTCTATTATTTATATAATTTTAAGGTATCTGAGTGCCATCTAGTGATGTTGTAGAAGTTATGCCCATGAGCCCTGTGTTGATGATCTTTGGACTAAATTGCCACAAATTCAGCATAGGCAGTACTGGCAAAATATGAGAATTGTAATTGGAAATATCTAAAGAGTGCTGTGCTGGGAAAAGATGCTTTAAAGTTGTGGCATTTTGGCCAATTATTTAATTTTCTGCTACCAACTATTTTTTGTAATCCTAGTACTATTCTAGCATTTACGATAGTTGTTTACTATATTGTTGTAACTCTTCTGCCCTAAGTAGCCTATAACCCTAAATATGTGATCTTGTTTATTTGATAGTCTTCTGTGATTCTTATGCACGTATGATCTATTCCTACTTATTCTGCCACCAAAACTAGGATTTAATTTCAGAATCCTAGTCATCAGCACACAGGAATCAAGTATCCTCCCATAGTAGACATCAGCTCTGCCAATACTGTAGTATCACCACTTATCACCAATATGGGTTTCCAGTGGTTATTGTATTCTTGTTTTACAGTTTTTTGTTCCTTCAGCAAAAAGATGTTTTTGACCATATTATGCCAATGTGGGTGTGTTTATGTGAGTTGCTGGAATGGTATCGTAATGTTTGTCACCTTTAGTTTGTGGTCATAAGTAGCATTGTGGACTATTTGTGTAGCATTCCAAAAATTGTAGTGCATCTGCTATGTGCTTTGGTTATGTATCAAACATACATTAACTATAGATTTATGCTCCATCTGCATCCGTTTCCCTATGGTTCTGCCACTGTTTGTCCTGGGATCGTAATTTATTGTATAGATAAACTTCTGGCATGAAATTGCAAATGTGACTTCTATAATGATTTTTGTTTAATTCATCTGATTTTTAAGACTCTCAATATTTCTACCCGAGTGTTGCAGAAATAATGTTGTAAAGATGAAAATACTGGGTACTTTTAATAGTGAGACAGGGATGGTATGTTTTAGTTGAAGACTCCAGTGTTTTAAAAAATAGTTTTCTTTTGGAAATAATTATAATTTAGCATGAAATCTGTTCAGGTTATGATTTTAATGTCTTTTAGACCAGTGGTTCTATATGTTTCATGTCTTAAGTTCCAAAAGTCACTCTGTCAGAGAATTGAATTTGACCACAGTAGGACAAAAATGCTACTTTTTCAAGCATCTGTTGTAATTTCATAATCTACACTCTATGTGTCTTGAACAGTAAAATTTTGTTTAGATTTTGGCTTTTATTTGAAATAAACTTAAACTGTTATTTTAGAAAGTTGCTACATAATTTTCAGCATGTGGCAGTGGAAAAATCTTAAGGAGGTATACAGAAAATTATTAAAATCTAAATACAGTATAGTAAAATTAGAATTATAACTCAAGAGCTGTAGAAACTATGCAGCTAGGAAACAAGCAAATTGATAACATTAAATAAATAAAATATTTAAAATGTCTTGGGAAACAATATTTCGGTTTGGCCCAAAAAGAAAGGAACCATGGTGAAATAAAATGTCATTTGTAAGGGCATTCTAAAGTTTGGATGCCACCACACAGACAACTATTATGTCAGGTGTCTGATATTAGTATATTTATTTAATAAACTTATAGGCTGCCCATCTCATATAAGTGACTCTGGGTAACTAACAATTAAAACAGATTTTATTGTTTTATTGTAAAAACAATAAAAATATATAGTATAGTTTGAAGAAAGTGGTAATTCATACTTATTTTAGAGTGATATTAGTCTGTTTCAGCAAGAATAATGTGTATTTTCATTGACTAAAGTTTGCTATAGTTGCTGTTCAAAGTCTTGCATTTAAAACTGAAGTGCTAATCATGCTAAATTTTTATTTCAGTTCTGATTGTTTAAATAATTATATCTGCAAATATGTCTTTTTTTAATATCCTGTTCCTTGGAAAAGTAGGCTATTAGTTCAATGATGCAGTTGTTAATCATTTGTCTGAAATATGGCCAAGTTATTGCATGTTTATGGTCTATAGCATAGTCCACGGAGTGCTCAGAAATCATGCTGTTGAATTTAGACATTAAATTGTTAAGAAACAAGGGAGTGATTCCCCTGTCATTTTTCAACAGGGAAATGCTAAAAAATGGGGTTTAACCTCCATAGTTTCTTCCAAAGCAAGCCCCTGAAAATCCTGGCCTGGTTTACTTAAGTGACATCACTGCAGCCCTCCGCTGCCTCCAAAAATTAACCCCGCAACAATTCCTCTGTGAGTTAGATTGGGCTGTGAGATAGTGTCAGCCAGTGAGCTTCTGTATCTTTTATTTTCTTTGTCCTAGTCCGAGGTCTAGGGCCACTGTTCTATATGGTTACTAATCCTTAGAAGTCTTATACATAGCTGTACTCCAGATATTGGTGTAAAATTTCCTGTGATGGCACGCTGTAAGAATTATTTTGTTGCTCACTTAGCCATAGTTATGAACGCTATGTATATATCTTTTATAGGAAGAGCTGCTTATTTACAGCAATTTACAAGAGCAATTTGACTATGATGTTAGAGAGTACTGGATCTTCTTATGAGTTAGCGTGAATTAGGAGACCAGTTTTCTCTCATGATACGGTAGTTCTTTCCCTAACTCCTTGTTTCATAATGAGATACGTTCTTTTATGGTTGTTACATCTTTTCATAGGTTGAAGTTCAATTGCTATACAAATAATCTTTTCTGCCATTCCGCTACAGCAGATTTAGGGATAATGAATAGAACACAGAATAATACATAGATATGGATTTGAAATATAGCAAGGATGATTTGCATTCCTTTCAAAATGGTCCATATAAATATTCATCATTGGCATAGAAATATTTTTCTGATTTTAATAAAAACTGTGTCTGAGCAAAGCCAGGGTAAAACATAAACTAGGTTGAGCAAAGCTAAGATAGAACATAACCTAAGTTATGGTTGGATTTATACATCACACTAAGTGTATCTTTTAAACTTTGCTATTATGATTTGTTTAGTCAATTATAGTTAAGTAATTCATGGCTTAATGTTACATTGAAATCAGTTTAGTATAATTTTATTTTGGACATAGTTAGACTATACCCATCTGAAAGGATAAATGTATTTCCTGAAAAGTCAAACCAGCTGTTTCAGTATTTATATTTTGATATTTTTTAATAAGATAATCATAATCACTAGAAATATTGAAGCTTTAATAATGTAGTTATAGTTGTGGT